TGTCCTTGGCTGCGCTGCTCTGTGCGGGCCATGCCCGGGGGCGACTCTCCTCTGGGGGGGGACTGCTGGTGAGGAGGGGGCCACGGTGAGGGCTCTGAGTGCCGCCTCTGGCACTCGCGCCATAGGTTCACCACCACTGCCTTAGACTCATATACCTCTTCCTAGTGCTTCCCAGCACTCTCTAAGTGGTTTACAGAGTCAGCATATTGTCAATGCCCCCCAACAACCTGGGTCCTCATTTCACCGACCTCAGAAGGATGGAAGGCTGAGTCAACCTTGAGCCGGTCAGGATCGAACTCGAAGGCTGTGGGCAGAGTAAGCCTGCAATGCTGCAGTCTAACCACTGTGACACCTACAGCTACTAGAATATGTTCCTCCCACGCTCCTCTTGTACGATACCACCACGTTGAGCTTTACTCCTCAGATGCTCCCTACCCCCCCTTCCTGCTTCAGCCCTTGTGAGTGAAATAAAGGGCACTTTGTTCATACTTACCAAGTAGTGAAAGACAACTTCTTTGTCCTTTAGGAGCTCTGGCTTGAGAATGTAATGGACTGGGATGACGGCATGCTCCCCGCAAGATAGTGAGCCAAGGCGCGTTTCAATTTTGAGGTAGCTTTGACTTGGAGAGTAGAAACGTGATGGTGAGGCAAAGCCAGTTTGGTGATTAGGGGAGACCCAGTTCGAATCGTAACAGAAATCTAATTTTTTATAGGTTGCCTGGCAAAAAAAGAGGATATCAATCATAATCATAATTGCCATCATCACCACCACCACCGCCACCACATACATTGGACAGTTGAAGAAAACTGAAGGCAGGATAAGAAGCAACGGGTGGAAACTAAGCAAGGAGAGAAGCAACCTAGAACTAAGGAGAAACTTCCTGACAGTTAGAACAATTAACCAGAGGAACAACCTGCCTCCAGAAGCGGTGAATGCTCCAACACTGGAAGTTTTTAAGAAGAGACTGGACAGCCATTTGTCCGAAATGGTATACGGTTTCCTGCCTGAGCAGGGGGTTGGACTATATAACCACCAAGGTCCCTTCCAACTTTATTATTATTATTATTATTATTATTATTATTATTATTATTATTATTATTATTATTATTATTATGGATCATCGCACAGTCAGCCAGATGTTTAGACTGGATTTGGCATTTTTGTCTACCTATTGAGTCCTTACCAAGGACCTGGGATAGGCGGATGTGGATGTTTGATGGTATTACAGATATCGTCGCAGGATGGAAGCAGTTCCTAGTAAGGCCGCCTTTTGTAATTGACTAATGGCGAATTTGTCAGTGCCGATGATGGTGTTCAAGTGGTGCTCCAGTTGTTTTGGGATTGCACCCAAGACGCCTATTAACTATTGGTACTACCCTTGCTTGCTTTTGCCACAGTCTTTCTATTTCTATTTGTAGGTCTTTGTATTTTGTTATCTTCTCCAGTTCTTTCTCGTCTATTCTATTATTATTATTATTATTATTATTATTATTATTATTATTATTATTATTATTATTATTATTATTATTATTATAAGAAGGGCATTGGAAGACTATCTGAAGGACAGTGAAGAAGATGCACTGAAGCTCGTACACCAGGAAGGCTTACTGGGTACTGGAGAGACCAAACTGGCCTTCAGGAAAGACCAAAGGAAGAATAGAAAAGAGACATGGCGAGGCAAAGTACTACACGGCCAATACATTAAAAAAAAAAAAAAAGCTGGTAAAGTAGATAATAACAAGATCTGGCAAAGGCTAATCGGAGGAAAGTTGAAGAAAGGGACAGAGACAGAGGAGCTAATTCTGACTGCAAAGCCTTAAGAACAGATGCATACAAAGCCAGAACTGAGAAGAAGTAACAGACAACAATGTAGAGATAGGGCCCAGGTAGAGGTCGTGAGCATCAAACTGCCCTTCCAACGCCTGCGTGCCTCTTCTCTCTACATGATCTCATCCATTCACATCACCATGGCAATGTGGGAAACTACCCCAGGCTGGTACATGATATCAGCCTGGTTACATCAACAGGATGTGGTAGAAACTGCTCCCTGGCTGGGCCTCCTAGCTGATATCTTCTTAAGGCAGTGGTTCTCAACCTTTTTAATGCCGCGACCCCAACCGGTCATAAGTCGAGGACTAAACCGGTCATAAGTCGAGGACTAAACCGGTCGTAAGTCGAGGACTACCCAACCGGTCATAAGTCGAGAACTTTCCCTGCCCGGGAGCGCCGCACATGCGTGGTTCCGCCCCCTGCGCCGGCCGAGGCGTAGCTGGCAAGCGGCAGAGACGGAGCAGGCCGACCACCAGCTGGCCCAGCCCAAGGGAGATAAGGCACCCGCCGGAAAAGGGGAAAAAAAATGGCGGACAAAAAAATGGCGGACAGCCTTGCTTGGCGACCCCCGTGAAATGGTCGATCGACCCCAAATGGGGTCCCGACCCACAGGTTGAGAACCACTGTCTTAAGGATTGGTAAGGAGTTTAACCAATAAAATGCTCTTGCTACGCTATTGCCATGTTAAACTTTTGCTGCTTGGAAAACTGTATAAAAGAATAAACGCTGCAAAGGCGGTCAGCCATATTTGCACCCTGCAATGACTGAGCACTGATTACTACACAACAAAGGCGCTTTTTCAAAGGGCAACTGGACTTGTTTTTTTTTCCTTTGAAGACATTTTGCTTCTCATCCAAGAAGCTTCTTCAGTTGTCTTCTTCAGAACTGGCCTGGCACTCCACGAGCAATTCCATCAACAGACACATCGGCCTACAAGCAGCCTACGAACCCCTCAGGATCCACATCAACCGCACAGCCATCCAGAGACGGCGCCGACCCACAAGCCACCCACTCAAGCCCCCCCCTTCCCACCAGCAGTTCACCTCCCCATAACCTTCACCTGTTGTAACCTCCCCCAATTATACAAAACTATTGAAGCAAATAAAGCTAGACTTGGAAAGACGGAAAAATCTGCAACTGTCAATATTAGGAAGAATTGCTACAGTAAAAATGAACGTATTGCCGAAGATTTTATTTCTATTTCAAACAATTCTGATAAAACTTGAGAAATTATTTTTTCAAGATTAATTTTGAACTTCATTTGGCAGGGGAAGAAAGCTAGAATAAAGATGAAAACACTACAAGATGCTAAGGAAAATGGACGATTTGGTCTGCCGGAATGGGCGTTGTACTATCAAGCATCTGTTTTAACATGGGTGAAAGAATGGATAATGCTCAGAAACAAAAGGTTGTTGTATTTAGAGGGACATGATTTACAATTGGGGCGGCACGCTTTCTTATGGTATGGAAAAAACAGAGTTCATAAGTATTTTCAAAATCACTTTATAAGAAATGCCTTGTTAACCGTATGGGAAAAAAATTAAAGCTAAAATATATCTAAAAATTCCAGGGTGGTTATCAACGATGGAGGCATTTGTACATCCGAACTTGGTAGACTTTGAAAAAATATGGGCATATAGAGATATTCTAAATACTGATGGGAATTTAAAATCTAAACAAGAACTGGAAAATCAGGGAATCAACTTGTCATGGTGGGCACATTTACAGATACAAAGTAGATATGAAAAAGATGTAAAAATGTATGGATTTTATAAGGATCAAACTGTTTTTGATAAGATTTTGTTAACCTCAGATGAGAAATTAATTAAGAAAATGTATAATTTTTTTGTTAATTTTGGAAATGGAAAGCAAACAAGTGAAAGAAACAATGATAAGATGGGCGAAAAATGTTGGCTATAATATAGAACTAGAAAAATGGCAAATGTTATGGGAGAGAAAATCTACACACCCACACCTGAAGCCCTTATAAATAGAGGAACACCAACATCGACATCCCCTAAACGCTGCTGAAAGATGTTACCTAGCCTGGTAACGAAATGTTTAGAAACCAACCCCCACAAGCTCGGAGAACGGGACCTTCACCCTCATGTTTGTGTACAGTTCAAACATATTTCTCCTCTTTCCAAGGGTCCTTTCTCCTTGCACTTGTGGGAGAGCTATCTTGTCGTTTATGCCAGGGCTTTTCAACCAGTGGTACGGGTACCACCTGTGGTACATTGGCACCTGGCAGGTGGCACGCGACCATCCTAGAAAAGTGGTAGCGGGGGAGGGGAATGAGCTGAACCGTTGGCAGCACCGCACAAGCCTGAGCGAGAGATGGCTGGAGCTGCAGGGCTGTCGGGGCTCAGCGGAAGCGCCAGGATCAGTGCCGCTTTCCAGCTGATCGGCGCTTCTTCGAGGCTGTCAGGGCTCAGTGGAAGCGCCAGGATCAGCGCCAGGCTCCAGCTGGAGCTCAGCACTGATCCTGGTGCTTCTGCTGAGCCCTGAAGACGCACCAATCAGCTGGAAAGCAACACTGATCCTGGCGCTTCTGCTGAGCCCAGAAGAAGCGCCAATCAGCTGGAGAGCAGCACTGATGCTGACGCTTCTGCTGAGCCCAGAAGAAGCACCAATCAGCTGGAAAGCAACACTGATCCTGGTGCTTCTGCTGAGCCCTGAAAAAGCACCAATCAGCTGGAGAGCAGCACTGATTCTGGTGCTTCTGCTGAGCCCAGAAGAAGTGCCGATCAGCTGGAATGTTGCAGCATTTCCAGGGTCTTGTGATTTACATTCAGATGCTTGGCAACTGATTCATATTTATGACAGTCACAGTGTCCCAGGGTCATGTGAAATGAACAAAACCTGCTGCAATCACCCAGCAGACGGGGGGCATAAAAACCAAACACCCCCCACCCCACCCCCGCTGCCAATCCTCAACAGAAATGCTCACAACAATGAAAACCTCGGACAGGAGGAAGAGCGCCGCCGGGCAGGCAGGCAGGTGTCTTGCTCGGCTGTGGCTTGGGGGGCACTTTTTTCAGTGCCATTGTAACTTCGAACAGTCACTAAGCAAACTGTTGTAAGTCGAGGACTACCTGTACTTTATAACTTTTTTCCTTTTTGGGGGAGGAGGGTCATCAAGTTTTTGACACCTCACTAGGCGATTGGCGGTACTCGGATATTGCCCTATCCTAAAAGTGGTACAATGGGTGAAAAGGTGGAAAAGCCCTGGTTTATGCATAAATAGGTAAAGGTAAAGATTTCCCTTGTCCAGCTGTGTCCAGTACTAGGGGGGCAGTGGCTCATGCCCGTTTCTTAGCCAAGGGAGCCAGCATTATCCAAAAACATTTCCAGGGTCAGCTGGTCAGCGTGACTATACGCCGAGGCCCATGGAACGCTGTTATCTTCCCACCCAAGTGGTACCTATTTATCTACTTGCACTTGCAATGCTTTGGAACTGCCAGGTTGGCAGGAGCTGGGGCGAGTGACGCGAATTCGCCCCGTCACGCAGTGCTCGGGCCTTGAACCCTGCTTGTCAGCTTTCCAGCTGAACAAGCTCAGAGTCTTTAACCATTGCGCCATTGAGCCCCCTCTTATGCCTACATAAAAAGTCACCTAAAAATCACCTAAATATGAGCCAGCCGTGTGCTGCAGCTGCCAAAAAAGCCAACACAGTGCTAGGCTGCATTAACAGAGGGATAGAATCAAGATCACATGAAGTGTTAATACCACTTTACAATGCCTTGGTAAGGCCACACTTGGAATACTGCATCCAGTTTTGGTCACCACGATGTAAAAAAGATGCTGAGACTCTAGAAAGAGTACAGAGAAGAGCAACAAAGATGATTAGGGGACTGGAGGCTAAATCATATAAGGAACGGCTGCTGGAATTGGGCATGTCTAGTTTAACGAAGAGAAGGACGAGGGGGGACATGATAGCAGTGTTCCAGTATCTCAGGGGCTGACCCAAAGAAGAGGGAGTCAAGCTATTTTCCAAGGCGCCTGAAGGCAGGACAAGAAGCAACGGATGGAAACTAATCAAGGAGAGAAGCAACCTAGAACTAAGGAGAAACTTCCTGACAGTGAGAACAATTAACCAATGGAACAACCTGCCTCCAGAAGCGGTGAATGCTCCAACACTGGAAGTTTTTAAGAAGAGACTGGACAGTCATTTGTCTGAAATGGTATAGGGTTACCTGCCTGAGCAGGGGGTTGGACTAGATGACCTCCAAGGTCCCTTCCAACTTTACTATTACTATTATTATTATTATTATTGTTGTTGTTGTTGTTGTTGTACCTTTCCACCCCAGATTCTATTTGGCAAAGGACATACCGGGCTAAGAACCTTGCCGTGATTTACGGCTAACACCCACATCGGTAAGAATACTCACGGTGAGCTGAAGGGCCTCGTCTGTGACGCCGGAAGTGTCTATGGAAAAGTGGGCTCGTCCCTGTTTATCAGTGTTGTAGAAGGAACTGTTCTTCACTCCTGCTATTTGAAGCTCAACGACCTGGTTGGCTATCGGCTTTTGTCCGCCGTCCACAAGCTTGATCTAAATTTACAAAGCAAACACCGGCTTAGGAACGGATCCAATTGCCATGCGATGCCAGGGTAGTCGTGTGAACAGGAGTCGGGTCAGAGGGGAAGAGGAACCACTCATCTCAGTTTCTCCAAGGCTTCAGGAGAAACATCTCTGAGGCTTAGAGTGGGCTGCATCTAAGGAGAAGGAAGGCCCCGCGGGACTGTCCTAATCACCCACCGATTCAAGACATGGTTTGAATGAAATATTCAACCAGGGAGGCTGCCAACCAGTTTGCCTTACCTCCCCAGAGACAGGAAGTCCAGGTTTGTAGTAAGCGTCCACGTTTTCTAAGGAAACGACGCTAAGTGTCGAAGTGATCTGTGTGGTGCCTAAGCCTGTCAACACAACATCTGCCGAAAGGAAACAGACACACGCAAAGCTTAGGAGGAACACAACAGCAGCCTCCGATGCCTTTTTTTTAATCCCCGGAGCCCAGGGGTAGGCAACCTTGGCCCTTTTATGACTTGTGGACTTCAACTCCCAGAATTCCTGAGCCAGCCATGCTGAGGGGAAAGGGAGAGGTTTCCAAGCTGAGCCAGGCTGGCTCAGGAATTCTGGGAGTTGAAGTCCACCAGTCACGAAGGGGCCATAGCTCCCCCATGCTGGCTCAGGAATTCTGGGAGTTGAAGTCCACGAGTGATAAAAGAGCCGAGGTTGCCTACCCCTGCTGGAGCCAAACTCCCCAACCAGCTGATTTGGCAATTTTCATTTCTTGGGCTCGGAGAAAAATTCAACAGTTTTCTTGTTAACCATTCAGACAATTGTATCGTTTAGTCCAGCTGTCTGACATACAAGCAGACCCCGTCTTATAAACGTTTGTTTAGTAGCCGTTCGAAGTTACAAGGGCACAGAAAAAAAGTGACTTATGACCATTTTTCACACTTAACGACCGTTACAGCGTTCCCCAGGGCCACGTGATCAAAATTTGGATCCTTGGCAACTGGTTCATATTTATGACGGTTGCCTGTCCCCGGGGGGTGTGTGTCACGTGATCCCCTTTAGCAACCTTCTGACAAGCAAAGGGGGAAGCCAGATTCTCTTAACAACCGTGTGACTAACAACTGCAGTGATTCACTTAACAACTGTGGCAAGAAAGGTCGTAAAATGGAGTAAAACCTCACTTAGCAACTGTCTCACCTAGCGACAGAAACTTTGAACTCCATTGTGGCGGTAAGTGGAGGACTACCTATATCAGTGGTGGCGAACCTATGGCACGCGTGCCAGAGGCGGCACTCGGAGCCCTCTCTATGGGCACACGTGCTGTCGCCCCAGCCCCGCCTCCCCCCACGGCCCCCTCCTCACCAGCAGCCCCCCTGGAGGAGAGTTGCCCGTGAGTACGGCCCACGTGGAGCAGCGCAGCCAACCACACGGAGCCGGGCAGCAGGGACAGCACTCCGCCCTCGCACTCCATTGCACACAGATGATGCTGCAGGGTGCGGGCGGAGGACATGGCCATGGTGCTGCTAGGCCGCCTGGGCGATCTGTGGCAGGTTGTGGAGGTGGGAGGGGCGGGGGCGGAGTGGGCGGGACGGGTGGACCGGTTTTGGGGCACTCGGTCTCTAAAAGGTTCGCCATCACTGACCTATAATCTGGGGCCACAAAAGCTCTTTGGCCAAGTTCTTTCCAATCCCTGGTGATCCTCAGCAACCTTTTAGATCCGTGTTTTTCAAACTGGGTGACTTTTAAGACAGGTGGATTTTTGGTGAACAGCTGGGGGATTTCCGGGAGTTGAAATCTACCCGTTTTAAACTCACTAGCTTTGAAAAAACACCGCTTTAGATGGAAAGCCGACGATGGAAGCTGCAAGCCCTTGCTATAAAAAGCAAGCTGCGCGACCCCCAGCCAAGCTCCCCATCACATCCCCCACACTGTTTACCTGTCCCCTGCTCTGTGATTGTGCTCTCCGTACGAATCTCCATCTGAAATCCATTTCTCTTCAGCTGGAATATTTTCAGATCCACCTCGTGTGAGAAGCAGCCGTGAATATCAGCCTGCATAAGAAATCAGAGAGTGAACAAGTTGCGATGGCAAATTCTTCTTTTATTCTTCCTGTTTTCCTCAATAATTTTTTCTAGGCTAAACCTTCTCAGACTGTAGCCCGCAGGGACCCTCTCATAGTCTGCAACTTGGCCCAGATGATCTACCAAAAGACTGCTAGAGGATGGAGAACTTTGGGGCTCACCTTCACCCTTGACTTAAGTGTTCAGACTCTAGCAAAGAAGCCATTTTGACCAACAAGACTAACTGGGGGGGGGGGGGAATGGAGGTAGTGACAGATTTTATCTTCCTGGGCTCCAAGATCACCGCAGATGGGGACTGCAGCCAAGAAATTAAAAGACGCTCGCTCCTGGGGAGGAAAGCTATGGCAAATCTAGACAGCATACTAAAAAGGAGAGACATCACCCTGCCAACAAAAGTGCGTATAGTCAAGGCCATGGTTTTCCCAGTTGCAATGTGTGGCTGTGAAAGCTGGACCATAAGAAAGGCTGAGTGCCAAAGAATTGAGGCCTTTGAACTATGGTGCTGGAGAAGACTCCTGCGAGTCCCCTGGACTGCAAGGCGATCAAACTGGTCAGTCTTAAAAGAGATCAACCCCGACTGCTCTTTAGAAGGCCAGATCCTGAAGTTGAAACTCAAGTACTTTGGCCACCTAATGGGAAGGAAGGACTCCCTGAAGAAGAGCCTAATGCTGGGAAAGATGGAGGGCAAGAGAAGAAGGGGACGACAGAGAAGGAGGTGGCTGGATGGAGTCACTGAAGCAGTAGGCGTGAGCTTAAATGGACTCCAGACGATGGTAGAGGACAGGAAGGCCTGGAGGAACGTTGTCCATGGGGTCGCGATGAGTCGGACACGACTTCGCAACTAACAACAACAACAACATCACAAACACACCCAAGGAGAGATTCTTCTGCCATTTCCCTGTCCGTGTCGCCTTCAACTTGATTCCAGCCCGTGAGCTGAAAGAGGCTTAAGTAATTTTAAATTACAGGACTTTCCCCCTTGATCTGACATTATCCAGGGTCAGCCTCAAGCCGCGTTGAACCTGTTAGGCTTTCTCACCCGTTATCCTGCACCAGGAGTGTCCATATGGGGTCAAAAAAAGTCAAATGGTGGCCAGGACCACTTGACTGAAGCCCTGCCCCCTTTTTAATGTGTGTCATGATGCAGGCAAAAGGGGGTAGACTTAAATTGGGAGATTGTGGCTGCCATCTTGTGTTGTTGTTGTTTTTTTAATCCTTTTCAGGATACCCGTGAGAAATCCTGGCCCTGTGATTTACTTATAACCTTTATATCCCACTTTTCCACCGGGTGCTCAAAGGGGACCCATGAAGACCTCTCGTAATATTATCTTTACAACCACCCAATAAGATAAGCTGGGCTGAGATAGTGGCCAGCCCCACGTCGCAACGAAACTATGGCCGGTCTGGGTCTCTCCTGGTTCCTAATCTAATACTTATCACTGTCCCACAGTTCTTCTATCCCACTGACAGCCCTTTGAGGCCAGGCCAGGAAACACATTCTGTAACAACCACTGGAACTTTATGTCAACGCTGCTAACACTGGATGTTCTTGATTTGACGAAAAATGCAGAGCTGTGTGGTATTTTTAGAGTTAACTTAGATGATGCTAAGGGGAGGGGAGGAGAAAGAATGTGTGTGGGGATTACTTAAGATAAAAAAACCCACCTACAGAAATGGAAGGGAACCTTTGCCCTTCAAACTGATTGGAGAACGTGATTTATGACAGCAAATTAAGGAAGGGAAATACGCTGGCAAAATAGGTGCTCAAGGGAGGGGAATTCAGATCTTGGCATCCTCCATGCCGTGCCGACACTTTGTTACATGAATAAAGACTTTTTAGGATAAACAATGCCTGGAAGTTCTTTGAAGCGTTCCGTTAGTCGGAACCATGACACTTTATTTTTAAAGAGTATAACAACAGAACTTTGAGAGCCTGTGTTTTCCCTTCTTATTGTACCAAAGAGAATCAAATTGGGACAAATTTGAGTTTCTTCCTCACTGTCTCTTCCCTTCCAAGACCTAAGCTCAGGTTTTAATCCTCTTTCACAGCCTAAAGTCACAATTATGAGATGGGTGGCGATATAAATTGTACATCACTCAGTATATTTTAGATAAACGAATAAGCCAATACGCCGGTGTTGATAGAATGGCTTTTGAATTTCTTCTTCAATGTCAGTGTTTCTCAACCCCAGCAACCTGAAGATCTGGGGTCCTTGGTACTCTCTGAGCCTAGTTGCCTTTTTTTACAGACATTTCATGACCCAACTAGGTGACCTCATCAGTGCTAGGAGGGAATGGGGTTAAACGAGCAGTTCGACCCTGCGCTACAATTATTCTCTTCTATTGCTACTCGAAGACGTGTGGACTTCAGCTCCCAGAATTCCCCAGCCAGCACGGTTTAAAATGTGTTGACTTCAACCACCTGATGACACTGCTGCTTGGGGAATTCTGGGAGTTGAAGTCCACGCATCTTCGGGTTGCTGAGGTGGAGAAACACTGCTCTAGGCCAGGGGTGTCAAACTCAATTTCATTGAGGGCCGCATCAGCATTGTGGTTGCCCTGGGGGGGGGCGGGGTGTGTGGCCAGAGTGGGTGCGGCCTACTGGGTGAGTGTGGATGGAGTGGGTGTGGCCTATTGGGTGGGCACGGCCAGCTCTACATCGTTTGTGTCAAGGGTGCCTGTGGAGGCCTGGGCAGGAGTGGGACAGATCTGGGGGTCTCTGGCAGAAGGGGGTGGGACCGGGGCAAGCGCCAAGGCATGGTCCACTGGAGGAGCCTCACTGCCTGCTGAAACCCCTCCCCCGGAGCCCATCAAGCCGGATAGGTGAAGTAGGTGAGGGCCATTTGCTGGCCACTTCCAGGCGATGGTGCATTTTTTCATTCCTCACAAAGGGTGACACCTCCCCAGCATGCACCCAGGAGACGGGGCCGACGTGGCAGGGGCTGGTTCCTCGCTGTTTCCAGACGGCCTTGTGGAGCTAAGACTGAATGCGTTTCAGCATAGATGGCCACCACAAAATTATACATTGGCTCCCGGCTGGCCTGGGCCAGGGCCAAAGCAGCGGGGGCCGTTCCCTCACTGTTTCCAGGATGGCTTCGCGGGCCACATGAAACCACTTCGCGGGCCGCATCCGGCCCCCGGGCCTTGTGTTTGACATGTCTGATTTAGACAAATTTTGACCCTGATGGTGTGGACTCCAGCGGCTGAGAAATCTTCACCAGCCCTGGTCACGGGGTCTTCTTCTTCAACTTTTGGGACTCACCTGCCCACTGAATTCCTCACAGATGGCTTTTGACTCTTCACCGTAACACGTGCTTCCGAAATAGGAAAATCTCCGGCAAACTGTCATGTTCACGAGCCCAGGAACTGGCTTTCCAAAGATGTACCTGCAACCAGGAGTAGCCAGAATGTTAGAAAAATGAATGATTGTCCAGCAGCGCCCTGGCTAAGGAGGCAAAGGATGGGAGGAAAGGAAATCTAACTACTACTGGTATCCTACTCAGTGTCATGGCGGTGCGGAGACCGCAGCTGGCTGCCATTGATTTCACTGTCTGGGGTTCTGCTAAGGGACTTGTCCTATGTAGGTGGAAACAAAGCCACACTCCAGAGGTCAAAGAACGCCCTGCATTTTTGGGCCCACGTTTGAAATAATGTCAAAATGAGTCATTTGCTGCTTCTGTGGCCAAGACTGAATAACAGGCTGAACAAATGTGAGTCAGTTGCCAAGCATCATGAATTCTGATCCCGTGGGGAGGCTGCAACGGTTGTTAAGCGTGAAAAACGGTCACGAGGCAGTTTTTTTCAGTGCTGTTGTAACTTGGAACGATCACTAAATGGACTGTAGTAAGTTGAGGACTAGCTGTAGCTATGTAGTAAACCCACCTCATAAGGATGCCGTTCTGGGGAAAATAGGAGGCATGTTCACTGCCTGGAATTGACCAATGTAGTAAATAAAGGCAACATGTGGAACATTCTTTTTCCTTTTTTCCCTCTCTACATCATTTTTTTAAAAAGTTATATATAATTTTTATATATAATTGTGTGTATAATGATAATAATAAAGTTGGAAGGGACCTTGGAGGTCATCTAGTCCAACCCCCTGCTCAGGCAGGAAACCCTACACCATTTCAGACAAATGGCTGTCCAGTCTTTTCTTAAAAACTTCCAGTGTTGGAGCATTCACCACTTCTGGAGGCAGGTTGTTCCACTGGTTAATTGTTCTAACTGTCAGGAAGTTTCTCCTTAGTTCTAGGTTGCTTCTCTCCTTGGTTAGTTTCCATCCATTGCTTCTTGTCCTGCCTTCAGGCGCCTTGGAAAATAGCTTGACTCCCTCTTCTTTGGGGCAGCCTCTGAGATATTGGAACACTGCTATCATGTCCCCCCTCGTCCTTCTCTTCCTTAAACTAGACATACCCAATTCCAGCAGCCCTTCCTTATATGTTTTAGCTTCCAGTCCCCTGATCATCTTTGTTGCTCTTCTCTGTACTCTTTCTAGAGTCTCAACGTCTTTTTTACATCGTGGTGACCAAAACTGGATGCAGTATTCCAAGTGTGGCCTTACCAAGGCATTGTAAAGTGGTATTAATACTTCACGTGATCTTGATTCTATTCCTCTGTTAATGCAGCCCAGCACTGTGTTGGCCTTTTTGGCAGCTGCAGCACACAGCAGGCTCATATTTAAATGATTGTCCACTAGGACTCCGAGATCCCTCTCACATGTATGTATGTAAGAATAATAGTGTCAAGAGTGAAAATTTGGCAGCTACATGCCTCTTTGTTTTCATCTTGCCGTTAGAATAAGGATGATGCTTTCAAATGAGTTAGTTAGAGAAACGAAACCTCTCCAGGTCTTCAGAAGTTTGCTAAGAGATGGCTGGCTGGAAAGCTTTCAAGGACATTTTAGCAAGTGTGAAGAAGATAACAGATGGTTCTCATAACAAAGAGAATTTAATTACATGAGCTAGGTGGACCTCTGGGGGGGTTTGGCTGGGGAAGTCATTATTATATGCTATAGTTTGTTGCCTTGGGATTTTAGAGTTAGTTTTCCTTTGGCTATACCAGGGGTAGGCAACCTTGGCTCTTTTATGACTCGCAGACTTCAACTCCCAGAATTCCTGAGCCAGCCATGCCGAGGGGAAAGAGAGAGGTCTCCAAGCTGAGCCAAGCTGACTCAGGAATTCTGGGAGTTGAAGTCCACCAGTCATAAAAGAGCCAAGGTTGCCTACCCGATCTAGGGCAAGGTGTAGTAGATATGGTATATCTCAGCCTCCCCTACTTTGATTCCTTCCAGATGAGTTGGGACTACAGTTCCCAGGACTTCCAAACTCTAGTCTATTCTAGGATTATAATCCTGGAATTTTGAAATTTTGACAAGTAGCAGATTTGAGGGCACTTCCACTTAGGTCAGGGGGTAAGGAACTAGGGCCCTTTTATGACTCGTGGACTTCAACTCCCAGAATTCCTCAGCCAGCCATGCTGAGGGGAAAGGGAGAGGTTTCCAAGCTGAGCCATGCTGGCTCAGGAATTCTGGGAGTTGAAGTCCACGAGTCATATAAAAGGGCCAAGGTTGCCTACCCCTGGCCTATACCATGCCATGTATTCAGTAAAGTAAGCTTTATAATAAGTAAGCTTTTCAGAAATGAAAGTAATCCTGGACACTTTTATTTGGATATTCAAGCTGGAGATTGACAAAGACAAGATACGATAAAGTACAACACAAAACATAGCTATGCTAATAAAATGAAAAAAAAAATATGTAGGAGAATGAAAATCTCAGTGGCATTTGTAGAAATGAAAACTATACCCATAAAATATTAGGACACATAGTCCTCCATTTACGACCATAAGCGAGCTCGGAATTTTATGTCTTTTTTTTATGGTGGTCGTTAAATGTATCTAATGTCTTCCATGGGCTTTTTTTGCTGGAACCCAGAAGTAAATGCTGGTTTCTACCAAATAAGCATCATAAATTCATGGTCACATGATCACAGCTGGCACAGAAGGGGACACGGGGTAAAGAAATTGCCAACGTGAAGAATGTCTGTCAGGGGAAAAAAAATCCTAGCTTTGAATAAAGAAGAAAAAAAGAAAGCCAGGCCATTGCCACTTACTTCCCGCAGACGGCTATTTCAATTTTGTCGTCCAGAATGGTTATGACTGAGGGAGACTTTACAACAACTTCAAACTTGGGCAACACTACAAGGAAGAATCAAGTACCAAGAATCAAGTCAGAATTTTTTAAAAAGAAAGAAAAAAAACCCCAAAACAGAATACTCTCCACTTCATTGCACCCTCCTTCCCACCACCGTGGAGCAAAGATACAGCTAAATTTTGGGATTGTAAACTGCCCAGAGTCATCGATTGAGAAAATGGACGGCTAAAGAAAATAGGAAGGAAGGAAGGAAGGAAGGAAGGAAGGAAGGAAGGAAGGAAGGAAGGAAGGAAGGAAGGAAGGAAGGAAGGAAGGAAGGAAGGAATTAGTTTCAGCAATGAGTTTTGGGAAGGAAGGAAGGAAAGAAGGAATTAATTTCAGCAATGAGTTTTGGGAAGGAAGGAAAGAAGGAAAGAAGTAATTAGTTTCAGCAATGAGTTTTGGGAAGGAAGGAAGGAAGGAAGGAAGGAAGGAAGGAAGGAAGGAAGGAATTAGTTTCAGCAATGAGTTTTGGGAAGGAAGGAAGGAAGGAAGGAAGGAAGGAAGGAAGGAAGGAAGGAAGGAAGGAAAGAAAGAAAGAAGGAAAGAATTAGTTTCAGCAATGAGTTTTGGGAAGGAAGGAAGGAAAGAAAGAAAGAAGGAAAGAAGGAAAGAATGAATTAGTTTAAGCGATGAGTTTGGGAAGGAAGGAAAGAAAGAAGGAATTAGTTTCAGCAATGAGTTTTGGGAAGGAAAGAAGGAAAGAAGGAATTAGTTTCAGCAATGAGTTTTGGGAAGGAAGGAAGGAAGGAAGTTGGAATCATTGTTTGAGAATAAACCTGCATGAGACAGTTTCGTATGAGTGCTTAAAAACACTGGACTATGAAGCATAAAATTGTGAGTTTTAGCCCTTTTTCAGGGAGAAGAACCAACTGTATGACTTTAGGCTGGTAAAAAAAAAAAACACCAGCAGGATTTTGATTGTATGCCTCTGGTCTCATCTTGCCTAATATTTTTATTATGATTATTATTTTACCTCTCTCCTCATAGACACCCTGGACTCCTCTTTCCAGAAGGAATTCCAAAGGAATCATAAAAGGAAATGGGTGAAGAAGAAAAGTCCCAGACATCAAAGGGGTCCCTCATATCCCATTTAAGTGAATTTTGAACCCTTGTCCTTATTTAATTTGAAAAACCAGCAGGGCCACCAGTTGGTCCTTTGATGACTGCGATCAATCTTTTTTTACAACATCCCCGTGACAATGAGAGAAAAGGAGTGGGGAAAAAATAGGATAAATGTACCAGGAGAGTGTGGAAGGGGGTGGCGGAGAAAGAGAGAGAGAAAGAATAACAGAACAGTGTTAGACGGGACCTTGGAGGTCTTCCAGTCCAACCCCCTGCTCAAAAGGCAAACCCTATACCATTTCAGATAAATGGTTTTCCAATCTTTTTTTTAAAACCTCCAGTGTTGGAGCACCCACAATCTTGTGAATTAGGTTGCCTTAGGCCAGGGCTAGGCCATCTTGGCTCTTTTATGAGTCGTGGACTTCAACTCCCAGAATTCCTGAGCCAGCCATGCTGAGGGGAAAGGGAGAGGTTTCCAAGCTGAGCCAGGCTGGCTCAGGAATTCTGGGAGTTGAAGTCCACAAGTCATGAGGGGGCCATAGTTCCCTCATGCTTGCTCAGGAATTCTGGGAGTTGAAGTCCACAAGTCATGAGGGGGCCATAGTTCCCTCATGCTGGCTCAGGAATTCTGGGAGTTGAAGTCCACAAGTCATGAGGGGGCCATAGTTCCCTCACGCTCGCTCAGGAATTCTGGGAGTTGAAGTCCACAAGTCATGAGGGGGCCATAGTTCCCTCATGCTTGCTCAGGAATTCTGGGAGTTGAAGTCCACAAGTCATGAGGGGGCCATAGTTCCCTCATGCTGGCTCAGGAATTCTGGGAGTTGAAGTCCACAAGTCATGAGGGGGCCATAGTTCCCTCACGCTCGCTCAGGAATTCTGGGAGTTGAAGTCCACAAGTTATGAAGAGGCCATAGTTCCCCCATGCTGGCTCAGGAATTCTGGGAGTTGAAGTCCATGAGTCATAAAAGAGCCAAGGTTGCCTACCCCTGCCTTAGGCAATAATGATTGGCTTTGGGATTGGGAGGGAGGGCCTGAGCGAGAGTCCCACAGGGAGCTTCCATGGCTGGGGGAAGGGCAGACCTGGTTCTTCCCACTTCCAGTTCAACCCTTCCCCACTCAACCACCATGGATGCTGGGTTGAGACAGAAGGCTTGGCTTTCTCTCTCAGATAACAGAATAACACAGTTGGAAGGGACCTTGGAGATCTTCTAGACCAACCCCCTGCTCAAGCAGGAAACCCAAAGGGTTGTCCAATCTTTTCTTTAAAACCTCCAGTGTTGGAGCATCCACAACCTCTGGAGATTCTATGGTTGAAAAAAAGGGGTGAAGCTGGAATTTTCCAATACTGCTCAAAAACAGTGTCTCCTGTACCCCAATGCATGCTAGCTGAGGAACTCTGGGAGTTGAAGTCCACACGTCTTAAAGTAGCCAAGTCTGGACTCCTGATCTAAATAAACAGTTCAGTTCCCCACTACTAACTTGCCCAACTTTTACAATATGCCTTTCCCCAAAATTAGTGCAGTAGGAGATATAGCCCAACAGCCAGTGATGGGAGTCAGCCGGTTCTCACCCGTTCGGTAGAACCGGCAGCTAAATTTTGTTGAGTTTGGAGAACTGGCTGAACCCATGCTGCTTCTGGAAGTCCGTTCTAGGCCTCGGAGGCCTGGAGGAGGTCTCCCAGGCCTAGAACGGCCGACCGGAAGTGCATGGATGTCACTTCTGGAAATCCATTCTAGGCCTGGTGGAGGCCTCCCAGGCCTAGAACAGCCCACCGGAAGTGCATGGATGTCACTTCCAAAAGTCTGTTCTAGGCCTTGGAGGAACAGTCCACAGGAAGTGCATGGATGTCACTTCTGGAAATCCATTCTAGGCCTAGTGGAGGCCTCCCAGGCCTAGAACAGCCCACCGGAAGTGCATGGATGTCGCTTCCAAAAGTCTGTTCTAGGCCTCGGAGGAACAGTCCACAGGAAGTGCATGGATGTCACTTCTGGAAATCCATTCTAGGCCTGGTGGAGGCCTCCCAGGCCTAGAACAGCCCACCGGAAGTGCATGGATGTCACTTCTGGAAATCCATTCTAGGCCTGGTGGAGGCCTCCCAGGCCTAGAACAGCCCACCGGAAGTGCATGGATGTCACTTCCAAAAGTCTGTTCTAGGCCTCGGAGGAACAGTCCACAGGAAGTGCATGGATGTCACTTCTGGAAATCCATTCTAGGCCTGGTGGAGACCTCCGAGGCCTAGAACAGCCCACCGGAAGTGCATGGATGTCACTTCCAAATGTCTGTTCTAGGCCCCGGAGAAACAGTCCACAGGAAGTGCATGGATGTCACTTCTGGAAATCCATTCTAGGCCTGTTGGAGGCCTCCCAGGCCTAGAACAGCCCACAGGATGTGCATGGATGTCACTCCCAGAAGTCCATTCTAGGTCTCGGAGGCCCAGGCCTGCATCCACGCAGAAGACCGGGTGTTCAGGTATTTGAAACCCACCGCTGCCAACAGCCAATGTCCCATTTCATTTGGGCATGGGTAAGCAGGCGTTAGGCACCAGAGGCATCGAATCCGTCTTACCATATTCCTCCACCGAGCAGGTATGTTCAACGTTTCTTCCAGAATCCTTCTGAACCACCACTTTGTAGGTACCTAAGGCGGGCTCGGAAGACAGGGGAAATTCAAGCTGGGCAAGGCCCCCCTTCAGCTCCACATCTTTCCACTGGAAAAGCCGGTTTCTCTTGGGGTCCTACAATGCCCAAGGAAGCAGAGAAACAAAACGTAAGGAAGCTAACTGAAGGCCAGATATGGTTCTCTTAGGCTCATGCCCCGGCATGCGTATTTTTCAATGAGACAAACCAAGACAGGAGGATCATTTTACTACAATGGATCAGAATATTCAGACAAAGGGGATTCCTCTCATTCAAAGAGGGGACCCCCGATCCTAAGCTTACATCCCCTTTTATAGTTAACATAATACAGGGGTAGGCAACCTTGGCTCTTTTATGACTCGTGGACTTCAACTCCCAGAATTCCTGAGCCAGCGTGGCTGGCTCAGGAATTCTGGGAGTTGAAGTCCACGAGTCATAAAAGAGCCAAGGTTGCCTACCTCTGACATAACCAATGAAAAAATGAAAGAGGAAAGTTGGATGGACAAGACAAAACTAACCCTTCCTTTTCACAGTAAATCAACCACAAAGATTGTTTGAAATTAGATAACCGAACGCCAGCTGACAGGAAGAAACTTGTTCTTATCAGGAAATCGTATCCAGCCGTGCTTCTGTAGCTTTTATCTGTTCAGTTAAAGGACGTTAGAAGCTATCTAATCCATCCACACAGCCATAGGATAAGACGGTTTCCTATATTCCAGTCTAATGGTTTTATAAAGCCTTATCACCATTTTGAAAGAGAGAAAAGCAAGTCAAATCAACATATAGAGTCCTTAGGTTTAAAGTACAAAGTAAAATGTAAAGTAACTATGTTAGCTAACAAATTACAAAGTCCATGTCATTGGCCAATCAGTTGCTAATTTCAAACCATCCAAAATCTCTAATCCATCCTAGGTGCTCGGTTTTCGGCCCATTTGTTCAAAGCTAAGCAAAGTTTTGTTCAAGGTTTTTTTAATGAAGAGAAGGACAAGGGGGGACATGATAGCAGTGTTCCAATATCTCAGGGGCTGCCACAAAGAAGAGGGAGTCAAGCTATTCTCTAGAGCACTTGAAGGCAGGACAAGAAGCAACGGATGGAAACTAATCAAGGAGAGAAGCAACCTAGAACTAAGGAGAAACTTCCTGACAGTTAGAACGATTAACCAGTGGAACAACCTGCCTCCAGAAGCGGCAAATGCTCCAACACTGGAAGTTTTAAAGAAGAGATTGGACAGCCATTTGTCTGAAATGGTATAGGGTTTCCTGCCTGAGCAGGGGGTTGGACTAGAAGACCTCCAAGGCCCCAATTCTGTTAATCAAGCCTTAAAGGACCCATTGCCTTGGAGTGCCACTTGATTCTGAAAAGCATTTTGTCAGCTGTCCATTTGGCGAATCCTGAAAAAGAAACTCCTGGGACATTTTTTTTTTCAAGAGTACAAAACTTTACTGAATATACTACATTTGCAAAGAAAGAAGTGAAACCAGCTCTGGGTTTCTCAGGCAGAAACAAGCATAGTTAATTTCCCCTTTTCCCCATGAGCCATCCTCAGTCCATTACATCCAATTTTATTCATTTGTTATGGCAGGGGTCTTCAAACATGGCCCTTTTGTGACTTGTGGACTTCAACTCCCAGAATTCCTCAGCCAGACACATGTGCCTGGCTGAGGAATTCTGGGAGTTGAAGTCCACAAGTCTTAAAAGGGCCAAGTTTGAAGACCCCTGTGTTATGGGAACCAACTAGGTGTATCCTTGAGGTGGGAGAAATGTCTCCCAGAACTTGAAGATATTTGGATTCCATTCCCCCCCCCTTCATTGTCAAGCTGAAAGCGAAGTGGGAATATAGGTGTGCTTCAGTCTTGACACATTTAAAAGATTTTCACACAAGTGCTTTAATTACTGGCTTATTCTCAATTTAGTCTGCTGATTGTGCTCGTTCTGTTGTACGAATGGGACCGCCCCCGAATACTACTCATGAAAGGCTATGCATCTTTTTCTTAAAGAAAGAACCACTTTTTCATTCAGCTTCTAATAGCCCCCAGAATGAAACAGAATTATCGTTTCTTCTGAAATAATAATAATAAAAAAGTTTTGTAACCCAGCTATCTAAAACAAATGGGTAAAGGTGACGATTAAAGCAAAATCAACTTTTGTCACCTTCGCAGAGGTGGGCAACTGTGAGTCCTTTAAGATCTGTGGACTTCAACTCCCAGAATTCCTGAACTAGCATGGCTGCCTCAGGAATTCTGGGAGTTGACAACCACAGGTCTTAAAGGGGCCATAGTTGCCCACCCCTGCCTTTGTGAATAACCAAGCCTCCAAATTTCCAAATCCTAGCGATTTGGCTACTTCTAGTAATTGACCTTGGGAGATCAGTATATAAATTCCGAAAGTGGATATTAATGATAAACACTCCCAAGTTAAGAAAAGGAAAAATGTTATTCCCTTTTAAAAAAGGAGGAAACCCCCCCCCCCTCAATCTATTTTGCATCATCACTTCTAAATCTTATCTATGCCCCAAATGTTAAATTGGGCTTTCGGCCATCAAATGCCCAAGGCTTAGTTAAAGAGAATTTACTGCCAAGTAAGTCTGCACAATGTAGCTGCTACGGTTAATATTTAATGCCATTTTGCTTTTCTGTTTGCTCTCAGCATCAAAAATCTCTTTGCTTAAGATAGCTCATCGATAGGTTATCTGAGGTACCAGCAGCTTGTTAAAATAAGACAGACAGACAGCAGATCAAATATTGCAGAAATCATTTCAAATGTTTAATGAAAAGCTGACTAAAAACTTTTGCAACTAGCCCAAAATCTCATTTCCGTGAGCCAATGTCCACATTTTGCTATCACAAACAAATAATTTGGCTTGGCTGGGTTTCTAAATTTCTACAACCTTAAGTAAGGTTTCACCTTCTTTCTATATAGCCTTTGTCATTCCCAACTTCTGGAGGCAGGTTGTTCCACTGATTAATTGTTACGAACTGTCAGGAAGTTTCTCCTTAGTTCTAGGTTGCTTCTCTCCTTGATTAGTTTCCACCCGTTGCTTCTTGTCCTGCCTTCAGGCGCTTTGGAGAATAGCTTGACTCCCTCTTCTTTGTGGCAGCCCCTGAGATACTGGAACACGGCTATCATGTCCCCCCTCGTCCTTCTCTTCGTTAAACTAGACATACCCAATTCCAGCAACCGTTCTTTAACCGTTCCTCAAGGAGAACAGAAGGGAACAGAAGAACTGAGTTGGAAGGGATTTTGAAGGTCTTCTAGTCCAACCCCTGTTCAACCACCCTATACTATTTCAGACAAATAGTTGTCCAGTCTCTTCTTTAAAACCCCCAGTGTTGAAGCATTCACAACTTCTGGAGGCAAGTGATTCCACTGATCTCCCCCGCCCCCCCTTTTTTTTTAGTCATCAAGTTTTTGACATCTTGCTAAGCACTGGTGGTACTCGAATATTGTCATGTCCTAAAAGTAGTACAATCTGTGAAAAGGTTGAAAAGCCCTGTTCTGGTCCAACCCCTTGCTCAGGCAGGAAAACCTATACCGTTTCAGACAAATGGTTGTCCATTTGTCTTCTGAAAAACTTCCAGTGTTGGAGCATTCCCAACTTCTGGAGGCAAGTCATTCCACTGATTAATTGCTCTAACTGCCAGGAAATTCCTCCTAGAGATTGCTTCTCTCCTTGATTAGTTTCCATTCATTGCTTCATGTCTTGCCTTGAGGTGCTCTGGAGAACAGTTTCACCCACACCCACACCCACCCTCGTCTTTGTGGCGGGCCCTGAGATATTGGAAGACTGCTGTCATGAGGTTACACCTCTCTTTGATAAGCATTCCAGCGTTACTTCTTGTCCTGCCCTCAGATGCTTGGAAAATTTTTGCATGCTTTCATTTTAATCCTGCAGCAAATTGATTGCCTTGTTTTTTTTTTTTCTCTTTAGGGTGCAAGGCAATCAGCGACATTGATCCGAAGGCTGAATAAGAAGTGACAAGGGACAGGGTTTCCCAACCTTGGCAACTTTAAGACTTGCGGTCTTCAACCCCACCCCCCCCGAATTCCTCCAGGCTGGCTTGGGGGATTCTGGGAATTGGAGTGCATGCGTCCTAAAGTTGCCAAGGTTGGGAAACTCCTGGACAAGAATCGAATGGTTGCTTATATATAAGAGCCGTGGTGGCACAGTGGGTTAGAATGCAGTATTGCAGGCTAATTCTGCCAACTGCCAGCAGTTCGATCCTCGCTGGCTCAAGGTTGACTTCAGCCTGCCCTCCTTCCGAGGTCAGTAAAACGAGGACCCCGATTGTTGGCGGGCAATGTGCTGCTTCTGTAAACTGCTTAGAGAGGGCTGTAAAGCATTACGAAGCGGTATATAAGTCTAAGGGGTATTTCTATATATACACTATTGAAACAGCGACGTCTACGCTGGCTTGGGCATGTCGTGAGAATGGCTGACGGTCGGATTCCGAAAGATCTCCCGTACGGAGAACTAGTGCAGGGAAAGCACCCCGGAGGGAGACCTGAGCTGCGATATAAGGATATCTGCAAGAGGGACCTGAAGGCCTTGGGAATGGACATTAACAGCTGGGAATCCTTGACCTCTGATCGTTCAGCCTGGAGGCTAAAGACGCAGCATGGCCTTCTCCAATGCGAAGAGACACTTGCGCGGCAGGCTGAGGCAAAGTCCCGGAACCAGCGAAATCTGGGGGCTGGACGGGGGACAGATTGTATCTGCCCTCAGTGTGGAAGGGACTGCTATTCTCGAACTGGCCTTTTTAGCCACAACAGATGCTGCCTTAGGACCTCTTCCCAGAGCACGATACCATAGTCTCTCAAGACTGAAGGATGCCAATGAATGAATGATTTCTATATATGCTACTAGAGCTTTATGGTGGTGTATAGAGAGGGTGATCCTAATTTCATTTCACCTGTTACGACGCAGTAAGGTAGTTCATTGATTTGTGCAAATAAAACGTAGGAAGAGGGGGCGGGGCTTCTGTTGCACAGGCGTGGGTGTCATCTTGACCTTGATGACCCCGCTGGAGTGATAAGGGGAATTAAAGTTTCGGTCTTTGGAAAAGTGACCTGATTGGAGGGCCCTGTTATTGGTTAATCTGTTAACAATTACATGGGAAGAAGACTTAGTTACTTACCTCAATGTAGATCAAGGGGACCTGTGGAACAAAGCACATTTAAAACAAAATCAGAAACAGGAATGAATTAGAGTGGAATTTTTCAACCTGGCCACACTTAAGGGAATCACTACACTGATTCGTATCTCAGTGAAGTTCAAGATGAGTGAACTTCAGCTCCCAGAATTCTCCAGCCAGCATGGCCACTGCTAAGCATTCTGGGAATTGAAGTCCGCAAGGTATGAAAACACTGAGCTAGATTACTTCAAGACATATATTGGCCCTTCCTTTACTTCTCTGTGACATGGTCTCACGCCGTCAAGGAGGATGTGTCCACGGCTACAGTAGGACCACTAAGCAGGTCTTGGGGACAGACATCCAAGGTCCATAAGGGACAATGGGTGGATACTTTCTCCCCCCCCAACCAAAGATGAGTTCATCCAGTGACACAATTTCATCATCTACAGATTTGGAAATCTCTGAAGAAATATTGGTTATCTAGACATGCTCCATGAGGATCATCCGTGATAGGAGATCTCCTGTAGAACCTGCAGGAAAGGAACTTTCATTTTCAAACAGGGTGGGCGGGGATCAGGAAAGTCCAAGTTGTGTGGTCATGATTGTGCAATGGAGGCACCGCCCTTTTTACGTGCACCGTTGGCGCACATGAAAAGGAGATCGGCTTCAATCACCCAGTCGCAACCGCCATCTTGACTTCTAGGAATGTCTCGGCCTACGTGTATGTGCAATAGGATGCTTTTGCTTTTACACAGTGCTAGCTTTTTCCCAAAGTATATGCAGCTAGCCCGTGTTCAACAGCTACTCATTCAGTGACGGTTTGAAGTTACAACCGCACTGAAAAAGGAAACTTACGACTGCACCCCATAACTGCAACTCTTGCGGCGTCCCTGTAGTTACATGATCGCCATTCAGGCACTTGTCACCTGACTCGCAGTTACGAGTTGTAGCGTCCGACGGTCACATGACCGCCTTTTGCGACCTTCACAACCAGCTTCTGACAAGCAATTGGGAAGCCAACTGCAGGTTGCAAATGGTGATCATGTGACATTGAGCCTAATGACTGCAACTGGGATCTGCTTAACGATGGCAACCGGGGCCGTCTCAATTGCTGCTGTAAGTCAACACGGTCACATAATGTCCCACTTTACAACTGTAATACTTAGCAACAGAGTCGCTGGTTTCAGTGACTGTTGTTAGGAGGACTAACTGTATATCCTATCCCGAGAAGGAAGACAACCCGCAAGGGAAACTACAATCAGTGGCTACATGGATTGTGATCTGGACAGAAGTCCCACCCATGTCGGGAAAAAGGGGTTGAAATCTGGAAAGGGACTTTTTAAATTGGTTTAATTCCCGTCTCGTTGACCCATGGGAGAGAAGCGCTGAAGGTCTACCAGTGGTGGCGAACCTATGGCACGCGTGCCAGAGGCGGCACTTGGAGCCCTCTCTGTGGGCACACGTGCCATTGCCCCAGCCTTGCCTCCCCCGACCCCCTCCTCACCAGCAGCCCCCCTGGAGGAGAGTTGCCCCCAAGCGTGGCCCACACAGAGCAGCGCAGCCAAGGACATAGCAGCCAGGCAGCGTAGACAAGACTCTGCCCTCATGCCCCATCCTGCACAGTTGATGCTGCAGGGCGCAGGCAGAGGGCGTGGCCGCCATGGCGGGCTCTGGAGGCAGCGAGTGGCCCTGTGGGCAGGCAGGGTGGTTCGCCATCACTGACCTAAGTCAAAGGTGAGGTACTACTGCCCCTTTAATGACTTGTGGACTTCAACTCCCAGAATTCCTGAGCCAGCCAGGAATTCTGGGAGTTGAAGTCCACAGGTCATAAAAGGGCCCTAGTTCCTTACCCCCTGATCTAAGTAGAAGTGCCCTCAAATCTGCTACTTTTCAAACTTTCAAAATTCCAGGATTATAGTCCTAGAATAGACTAGAGTTTGGAAGTCCTGGGAACTGTAGTCCCAACTCATCTGGAAGGAATCAAAGTAGGGGAGGCTGAGATAGACCACATCTACTACACCTTGCCTTAGATCAGGGGTAGGCCACCTTGGCTCTTTCATGACTTGTGGACTTCAACTCCCAGAATTCCTGAGCCACCCATGCTGAGGGGAAAGGGAGAGGTTTCCAAGCTGAGCCATGCTGGCTGAGGAATTCTGGGAGTTGAAGTCCACGAGTCATAAAAGAGCCAAGGTGGCCTACCCCTGCCCTAGATGATGGCACAGATCCAGTTTCATTGGAGAATACCCTTCCTTGGATTCTGTTTCCGAGGCCCCACTGGATAAACAGAACTTTAACACAGAGGTTACCGATTAACAAACTTTCAAGCGAAGTGTCCCCATTCACATAATCCCCAAATATTCTCATGAACTGAACAACTATCTCGAAAAAAAATTGCTGCAAAGCGGAACCTACCTTCTCGTTGACGGGAATGAATTCCTTGGTCAGAGAGACAACACGAAACAGAACTGAGAAAGCAAGAAGAAAACCATTTTAATAGGGATAAAAATTCTTCAGAATTGAAGAAGCATCTTGGATGAGAAGCCAAAGGTCTTTAAAGGAAAAAAAAAACCCAAGAAAGTCCAGTTGCCTTTTGGAAAAAGCACCTTTATGATAACCATAACTTAGATCAGTAGTGATGGACCTATGGCACGCATGCCTGAGGTGGCACTCAGAGCCCTCTCTGTGGGCACGCGCGCCATGCCCCGGAGATGGCAACCGTCCTTCTTCAACCAGCCGCCCGCTAACTTGCCGAGGTCCCACATGGCCAGATGCATCCCAGCACCCATGCGCTTGCTGGCCTCTGTGTGCAGGGGGCGATGGTGTCAGGTAACAGCCGCCCCGGCCCCTACCTCACCTTTCCCTGTGACAATGGCACTTCTGCCCTGCCTCGCCTTGCCTCACCTCACCCCGCAGGACGAGCCTCCTGCCCACCGCCCCACCTGCCATCGTGGTGACCAAAACTGGATGCAGTATTCCAAGTGTGGCCTTACCAAGGCGTTGTAAAGTGGTATTAACACTTCACGTGATCTTGATTCTCTCCCTCTGTTAATGCAGCCTAGCACTGTGTGGGCCTTTTTGGCAGCTGCAGCACACGGCTGGCTCATATTCAAGTGATTGTCCACTAGGACTCCGAGATCCCTCCCACAGTTACTACTATTGAGCAAGGTACCCCCTATACTATACCTGCACATTTGGGTTTTTCTTGCCTAAGTGTAGAACCTTACTTTTTTCACCATTGAATTTCATTTTGTTAGATAGCGCCCTATCTATCTATCTATCTATCTATCTATCTATCTATCTATCTATCTATCTATCTATCTATCTATCTATCTATCTATCTATCTCTATCTATCTATCTATCTATCTATCTATCTATCTATCTATCTATCTATCTATCTATCTATCTATCTATCCATCCATCCATCCATCCATCCATCCATCCATCCATCCATCCATCCAGTTATTTACTTGCTTGGGCTTATTGGCTGTTTCAGTTGTGACTCAGTTATAAAGGGCTAAGTCATTTAATATATAAATGTACTTTTTGGCTCATTAAGGCTGCAATTTGGCCTCAACGTGCACCACGAAAGGGACGTCACGGCCAGGAACATGGGACCAGGGGCTGTGTGGGGCTTATGGGTTTACCTACCCCCCCATCCCAGCTAAAAGCAGGACCATTGTTAAGATACCCAAGAAGCACAAAATCTTGAACTGAGATCATACACAATTGGCAGAGAGCTATTCCCTTTCGGGAGCCATGCTCTTACCTTTCTGTCCTGGCTTGTAGATGGGTTTATCGGTCTGAACAAAGGTGAGGCTCTCCTGATTTTCAATATATACCCTCTTCCGATTTAGGTACCTCAGGGTCGCTCCTGTTACCTCTACTGTGAAAAGCGCTATGTGGGAGGTGAAGGACCTTTCCCATTTGGGGATCTGGAGAAAGGAGAAAGGGGGGACTTTAGTTTTTCTAGAGATGAGTAGTGTGTCTGTTAATTGGCCAAGCCAGCCAAAGATGGGGAGAGGAGAGGAGAGGAGAGGAGA